CAAGAGCAAATTGGATGCTTATCTTGCTGGGATCCTATGACCCCAGCTGACTTCCTGCCCCTTGGGCAGGGGACTGGACTCGATGATCTTCCGAGGTCCCTTCCAGCCCTAATGTCTATGAAAGTCTTGCAATATTAGGGTCTTAAGGGGCTACTTTGTTTTGCTTTGTTTTGTTTTTAAAGTTCCTCTGCCCACATCGATTAATGAGATTATGTGAAAAGCCTCAGTTTTCATCTTTGCAGAAAGTTTCTAACCCTCATGGCTACATATTTCTTTATGACTAGATCCAAATTGTCTATTTTTTAATCATCTTTCAAACAAATGATTGATGAAAAGGATTCTGGTTATCCATAGCACAAAAAGACTAGCTCTAGGAGACACTAAAGAATGGTAGAGCACGCTAGCTAGAGGACAAGGTATTGGTGAGTCTATTCTTCAAACATAAGTTAGAAGAGTCATTAAAAAGACACAATCCCTTCAACTGTGTACTTAATACATAAGAATACAAAAAGCTAGGTACTTTACTTGAGAGTCTCCATTTTTCTGTTGATTTGTTTGCAGGTTGCTCAGTATCTGAGTGAGTGAGACAGAGAGGACCCATTTAGTCTTATTGCTAGGTAGCTCCAGTCACAGAACACCTCTGTCCTCAGAAAAATTTGCATAAAAGATAGGCTTCCTCCCACACAAGCAAACCATTTTCCTAAAATATAAAAGTGCAACTAGACAGATAAATCCTTGTAACAATTTTCTCTCTCAGCTAGCATTGCTATCACCTGCTTCTAGTCCAGCTAAATATGTGGTGCATGATCTTCAAATCACTATCTATACAAAATGGGTGTTTCAACACAGTCAGTGTAACCAGGAAAAAAGAAGGAGTTTGAAAATCTTCCTATTAGTCTCCAGTTGCTGGAAACATGTACTATACCAAAACTTCCATGCAATTTGTTTCTCTGTGACAGCTCCTTTCCTGTTTCTCTGCCATGCAACAGAAAGTTCAAACAACCATAAGAGCTTCAAATAAACATAGAAACAGAGTTCTGCCACAGCAAAGTTCAAATGCATAGCCAGTTCTTTCTGCAGAGGAAAGACTCTAAAACTAAATAAATTAGTACAACTACATAATTATGTAAGAATAAATAACTAAGCTTAGTAAACCACCTGTCAGTACACAAAAACATTTTTGGATGAGTAATTTGGGAAGTGAAGTATGATGTGTGACATTCATGGGTTGTATATTTGTCTACATTTATTGCAAGATTCCCCACAATCTCTCAAAAAGGTGGTGCCCAAGTTAAACTAAGACTGCCTCCCTCTCTAGCCTTAATTTATGGTAATAGTAAAAGGATCCATTTCTTCAAGTTTCATATCTCTACTTAAAAATAACAGACTACCACACAAAATGGTCAGCCTGAAAGGCCTAGCCCGAGTCCAGACCTAAAAAGGCACTGACTAAGTTGCCACAG